GTGTGGGTTCTTTGACGTCCCCTGCTAGCCATGTAACACTGAAGATGCAGGAGACGGGGCCTACGGTTTATAGTCCTTATCTGAGAAGACTTGAACGTCTAACCATTTGCAGATGTAATTACAAAGGTAGCACATTCTCTTCAAATATCTTAAGACGATAAGTGTTGGTCCGATCTGGGGCTCGATCCCTCGACCTCCAGCACAGCAGTCCGGCTCTGTACAAACAGAGCTAACCAGGCGGCGACTAATATATCACAGTTCTCTGAAATCCTACCTGCTTTGATTATCTTCGTCATTTCGTCCGTTAACTGCTTCCAATTCGATTCGTTACCCGTGCCATTATCCTTTATTTTAACATAATACAAAAAAAATAAAGCATATGTAGTTATTTCTTATTGAGTCCGGTCGATTTAAACGTTTTTCAGTAATTTTGATCATTGATTGTTACTTATTTTTCCATACCAAGAGAAACACAGCAACAACAGAGAGGCCGTCTGGTTTGTCAGTAGCAGCGTGGAAATCGAAGTACTTTGTGTTGTATGTCACCAAATGAAGCTACAAAACGGAAACAAAATGATGTAAATGTAACGATAGAGAACCACCAACCGTTGAAACTTTTATTGAAAGGCCGTGAAATAAAAACAAAACAAAACAAAACAAAACAAATCAAAACAAGTAAAAGAGATCGAAGGAAAGCAAACAAGTCATACTAGCTGAAAGAGTATGTTGTAATTCTAGATGGAGGGTTTCCTGAATCGTTTGATCGTTTGTCAAGCTGTTTTAATATGGGTAGGTTGAGGGTGCAGGGCCGGGAAGGCATGGGCAAGGGTATTGAAATTGGTTGAAAAAAGAATGATCATCCGGCCTGTTAAAGTGTGGACGTTTAGCGCTCCAAGTAGATAACAATCAATATCAGTTTATCTATACCTTTGTTTTACAATTAAAATGCCGCAATCAAGACGGTCTCTCAAATAAACAATCTTCGGACTATAAACTGAACAACAGCTCTTCAGGGTAGATCTGTCAAGCCCATCCGCGATAGACCTAGGCAATCCTTGGCAAATGAGGCTCTCGCACAGCTGAGGTGAGAGACCATGGCTACCAGGGTAAGATTTCACTGCATGCTGCTTCTTTTAAGAGGTTTTTTTAAAATGATTTTACTTTGAGTCGTGCAGTGAAAATAACATTTGTAAGCCTCAATCTCGTCACTCCTGGATCCAATGGGGGACTTTAGATAATGAGTACGGGTACGAGATCGAGTGCAGAACGACTTTTCAATTCTAGCTCGCAGGCTTCACATCATCAAATCACATAACCATTTCATCCCATGAGCTAGCCTCTCTACGTAAAACCAACATGAAGAGCAAGGGCTCTGGAAACGTCACTGGTTTGAAAATCGAAAATGGTACTCGTACTCAATCTCGCGCTCGTAGTCTAATCTTAAGGTCTCTAATATCGCCTTCTTTGCCGTACAACATTGCAAGTGAGTCAAATATCCTACCACATATTGTAAAGAAAATGTGTAATCTTTTAGCGTTTAGATGTCATACTAGGAAACCATTGCATGATAGCTTGTACACGGTTAAACCCCCTACAGCTAATTTGAGAGTTATTTTAAACTTTAAACCCGCGTAGCTCTCCAGAGAATACCCTGCCTTCCACATCAGCGTGTTCAGACCCTCTGGAGGCGTCACAACCAAAATGAAAGTGAATCTGCTTAAGCTTGTACACTGTGTGTGCCCAGGGACCCCCGATAAGTACGGCGGGAGTTTTGGATTGGTCAACTATTAAGGTTGGTACATGCCCATTGTTGACAAGAACGCCACTGACACTTCCTACCATGTTATCAACAATGAAGCGGTACCCATTCGCATACGGAAATATATGCACGGAAATCTTGTCAGTTTTAATGTTGATAGGAGACTGGTGGATGTCCTCGACACAGTGTGCCGAAACTTTTTTCCAGTCTACTGGACCACAAATGGCAGTTTCATGATCATACACTGCAAAAATAGGAAACGTTTTTGAATTAATCATCTTTAATCTCATTAGTAAATTAAGCACTTACTAACTAGACTCCTGCAAGTCGATATTTTTGTTAATCATGAACGGTCTCTATCATTTGATTGGATCTTTATTTTATGCCAGCAGAATACTAGCTCACATTTGCCTGGAGTATTCAGATTTAATCTGTCGCTAGTTTAAAATATTTGGCTACAAGACAATTTGATATGACATTCATTTTTCAGGTTACTAAGTTCACTATTTCGTGAGCCGTTGCTGAATTTCCCGTTGAGCAAACATCCTTAAGCTGTAGTGATTGAATTGACAGCTTTTATCATTAATGGAAAAAAATCGTTATTCTGTGACAGTTAGTGTCACGATTAACTGATATTGCCCTAGGAAAATATCTGCTCTCTTCGTAACTGGAACAAACAGAATAAATTTACCAGTTTTTCCGTACGTCCAATGCAGTTCTGCAAAAAAGATAGAAAAAATAACCTTTTAATTCTCTTATATAATTCACTTTTCAGTTACCGCGCGTAACATCTTGTAGAGATGTCTTAGGCGGTCATTCTAATGTCTTGCTCCATGCATGCTTGAATCGAATTCTATATGAAGAGTTATATACTGTAGAAAGAATTTAGGGAACGTAATTTCTGCATGGATCTCATAGCCGAATAATAGCACTTGACCAGTTCTATTTTGATCAGTACCAATAAGCTAGCATAAACCATTTATTTACTGCTGTTTACTCTTTCCTCTCTTACACTAATTTTCTAGTATTTTATTCTTTTATTCTAAAATTCATTTATCTAATTAAAGGGCATATTATTACTTTATAGTTTATTTTGTCCTTTCCAGTTTCCTTTCACTGCACTTTACTTTAAGCAATACTGTATTCAGATCGTCAAGTGGAGAAATACAAATACAACTACATGCAAATACAAATACTGCGGATCAAAGCCTCTCTGAAGCTGATTTGTCCTTGTTATTTTCACGTCAATTTTCTCAACAGATCATTTTGTGAAAACATGATTGATCAGTTATACACACAACTCAGTGAGCAGTAAGCTTTCACATTGCATGACATAGCTCTACCACTGAGTTATTACTGTGTTCTTATACTGAACATCACATTGTATATAACATATAGCAGTTATATCGCTTAGCAATTGAATCATTTACTTCTTTAAATAATAACTTCGCTCTTCTCGAATGCAGAATGAACTTTTATTAGCGATACTTAAAAGTTCATCATATGTCAAGTTCGTTATAATGTTTGTTTTCAATTCAGCAATAAAATAGACAGAAAAATGTACTTGTACCAATGCGAACATTCTTTTACATCCGAAATATACTGCATTGGAAAATACTAAAACAAGGCTATATTGATGTGAAACAGAGAGTTTCAACTTTTAGTAACCGTTTTAAGGTTTATAGGGATATCAAGACAACATAATAGCCTTAGTTGGTGAGATTCTCTCAGTGTCCTGTGCTTTTTTTTTCTTAAGAGTGTACAGATATTGTCATCATTCTTGAAGGAGAAAATTGACCGATTTTGAGAACTAGTATCAATGATTCATAGCATTGGTGGCAGTGCAATAAAACGCGAGTGATATAGTTCAGCTTAACGACAGACAGACGAAGAAAACATATTTTATATGCAATCTAAGCATTGCATTGCATAACAGTCGTACCTTGAAAAGCAAGGAGGCATGGAAGTAATTCCAAAATAACAAGGACTAGAGCTTGCATCTTCACTTGTTGTTGCCACACGCCAGCGAAGAATGATCACTATTGATGCAGGCGATGGAAATTTATTAACGTTTATGATATCACTGCAATATCGGTAGTTAAGGTAGCTTATATGCTCGAAACCACCTCATGAAAAATTTGAACAGACCAATCAGAGAGAAGGAAAGTACAATTTGCGTATTCAAGATGGCTGCAGTATTTTTGAAGCGTTGTGATTGTCTGTTGGGAAATGACGTCATGCAAGATGGCGGCAACGTCGCGCAAAAAATTCACACTGCGATAACAAATAATGTAAAAAATTTATTCAGCAGTAAAAAACTATTTACACTGCGGGACCTGTGCCATACCAAACGGACTAGCGCCCGACTTTACAAAACATGCTGAATACATCCATGTACAGACTGTGGTATTTTAGCCTGTGAACAGGCTCCCGGCCGCTAGAAGGTTCTGACCACGGCTAAAAGGGCTGAGAAGGAACTGGTTCAGAGTGAAGTGGCCGAGAGGGCTTGTGTTGGGGGATGGGGCGTCTCCCCTCATCTCTCTCCACCCCCCCCCCCCTCTCCTTGTTCTCCGTTTCCCTCCCGCTTTCTCTTCGCCCAATTCTAGACCAGAGAGAGAGCTTATTCACAGGCTGTGGTTTTTCTAGCCGTGAGACACACACTAAGATGCCGAGAATAAATATTTTTTACTGTGGAACCACTTCTCGTTGTCGCATCAGTATATGTAAGACAAGAAGTTTACAAAATATAGCTAAACTACAACTAAACAATAATTGACTGCGATAACAGTTGACGCAGGCACTTGTTGCGATGGCTGGCAAGCTCAGTATCGCGAGTGTTTGGCCAGAAGGCGTCCATTCAACGGCTGCGTAGGTCTAAAGTTGTCACACAGGGAGTGGCCCTCGTGATTTTTGAGACTTCTCATCGCAGTCATCTGAAATAAAAAAAGAAATCAAAGGTTTTAGGAAGCAAAACAATCACTTTTTATACGTTGCATAAAATAATTTCCATTATGTCCTGAACGATAAACTGTTTTCAGTTCTGAAGATCATGGTCATCCGTTATAGTACATACAGTTTAGCACACCATGGTACTGCAGTCATGTACTCTCTAAAGTCAAATGTTATCTACATGTGTCTTTTGCATTTCTCGACCCTGGTTTTATCTACTACGTGTAACGGCCGCAAGTTACTAATAAATCGTCGCTCAATGATATTTTCCAAAGTATTTCACAAGAAGAAGCTATGTATAGCAGACTTCACAAAGTATCGTAATAAGCTGATGTCACTCATTAATTCTGATTAGAGAACACAGTAAACAAGACAGTTTTGCATGGATAAAATAAGTAGAGAAACATGAACATGTAAGACTGATAATAGCAATAGCATTGACGATAAAACACTCCTACCACTTCTCTGCTAGTGGAAACTGGATTTTCTAGCACAATCCATTTAACTGACTGGTAGCATGGAGGAGTTGTCAGAGATCCCTTGTAAGTGTAGAATGATGCCCTGGATAAATCTCGCAGTTGGGGAACCATATGGTACAGTTTGATGTAGTACATTGGGACCTTGGTAATGGAATCTTCAAAGAAAATGTTGGACTCAATACTTATAATTTTCTTCTGTCAGATTGCGCGTGGAGACAAGAAGATGTCTAGGTAAAAGCTAAAGTCAGGTGTTTTTTATGCACTTTGAGTAGGTAAAGGGAAGGCAAACAGAAAAACTGACGGACGAAAGGAAACCTTAAGCTAGTATCTAAGCCATGAGTGTTAGAGTCAAATTACTAATATCACAGTTGAAATGTCCTACCTGCCTTGGTTATCTTCTTCATTGCGTCCGTTAACTGCTCCCAATTCGATTCGTCACCACCATTATCCTATATTTTAATGAAAAAATAAAGCACAATTCGTGGCTTATTGGATCTGTCGATTTAAACGATTTCCATTAATTTTGATCATTGATTGTTGTTACTTATTTTTCCATACCAAGAAAAACACAGCAACAACAGACAGGCCGTCTGGTTTGTCAGCGGCAGCGTGGAAATCAAAGTACTTTGTGTTGTAAGTCACCAAATGAAGCTACAAAAAGGGAACAAAATCGTGTAAGTCTAGCGATAGAGAACCACCAACAGGTAGAACTTTTATTGAAAGGAAGGAAGTGATCACGGAAACCAAAAAGGTCAATAAGAAAAAGGGAGAAAAGGAAAGCAAGCAAGTCAAGAAGCGAGTTGAAAGGAAATGATGTAATTCTTGAGGGTTTTCTGTTAAGGCAAACTGTCAGGGGTAGGTTGAGGCTGTAGGGCTGGTGGGCATAGGCAGGGGCATTGGCTGAAAAAAGAATGATTATCCTGTTAAAATGTGAACGCTTAGCGTTCCAAGTATATTATAATCAATATTAGTTTATTTATAACTTTGTGTTACACATAAAATGCAATCAAGACGACCCTTCAAATCAACATTCTTCAGACTATAGACTGAGCGACAGCTCTTCAGAGTAAATCTGTCAAGCCCATTCCGCGACAGACCTAAGCAATCTTTGGCAAATGAGGTTCTCACACAGCTGAGGCTACAGACCATGACCACGAGGTAAATATTTCATTGTTTGCTACTTCTTTTGAAGGTTTTAAACGATTTTTTTGACTGGAATTTTAATTTGAGTCATTTTAAAGACATGCGGTGTAAATAGCATTTGTAAACCTCAATCTTGTCACTCCTGGAGCCAGTGTGGCTGTCTTTGCCGTGCAACAAGTGATTCAAACATTCCATCAGATATTGTTAAGAAAATGGGTAATCCTTTAGTTTTTAGACGTCATACTAGGAGACCAGTGATGGCCCTCAACACCGTTAGACCCGCTACAGTTTAGAGTTATTTTCTACGTTAAACCCGCGTACCTCTCCAGAGTATACTCTGCCGTCCACAGTGTGTTCTGACCCTTTGGAGGCATCACAACCGAAATGAAAGTGAAGTTGCTTAAGCATATACACTTTGTTTGCCCAGGGACCCCCGGTAAGTATGGCGGGAGTTTTGGATTGGTCAACAATTAAGGTTGGCGCATGCCCATTGTTGACAAGAACGCCACTGACGCTTCCCACCATGTTATCAACAATGAAGTGGAACCCATCCAGATAAGGAAACATATGCATGGAATTCTTGTCGGTTTTAATGTTGACAGGGGACTGGGTGTTCTCGACACAGTGTGCCGAAACATTTTTCCAGTCTACTGGACCGCAAATGGCAGTTCCATGATCATACACTGCAAAAATAAGAAAACTTCTTGAATTAATCATTTTAGTCTCTTTAGTTATTCACATTTTCTCTTGTTATTTATTAATCAACCATTTACCAACTAGACTTCTGCAAGTCAATATTTTCCTAATTATACAATGCCTCTATCGTCTGATTGGATCTTTATTTAATGCCAGTGGTATACTAGCTCACATTTGTCTGGAGTGTATTCAGATTTAATCTGTCGCTGGCTCAAAACATTTGGCTACAAGACAATTCGATGTGACATTTATGATCATTTCTCAGGTTCCTAAATTCACCATTTCGTGAGATGTTGCTAAATTTTCCGTTGACCAAGCATCCTTAAGCTGTAGTGACAGCTTTTGTCATTAATGGAAAAAAAATTGTTTTTCTGTGACAGTTAGTTGCACATTTAATATTGCCTTAGGAAAGGTATCTGCTATCTTCGTATTGTCAAATAACGGGAACCAACAGAATAGCTTTACCAGTTTTTCCGTACCTCCAATGCATTTCTGTAAAAAAAAAAAAAAGAAAAAAAGTGAAAGTAATTCTCTTATATAATTAACCCTTCTATCGTTACATCTTGCAGAGATGACTAAGTCGGTCATTGTAATAGCCTTGCTTCATTTAAGCTTTCTTGAATTATATACGATGAGCTATAATTATACTGTAGAAAGAATTTATGGAACGTAATCGTTGCAAGAATCTCAAAGACAATACCAGCACTTAACCAGTTCTTTTTTACTCAGTGTTAATAAGTCTAACATAAGCTATTTACTCTGTGTTTACTCTGTCCTCTCTTACACTATAGTTTTCTTTGTATCCTGAAATAAAACAGGGCATATAATTAGTTTAGTTTAGTTTGTCCTTTCCGTTTCCTTTCACTACACTTTATTTTTAACAATACTGTATTCATATCGTCAAGTGGTGAATCCAAAATACGAATACAAATACAATACAATCAAAGCCTCTCTGAAGCTTATTTGTCCATGTTATTTTCACGCCAATTTTCTCAACAGATCATTTTGTGAAGATATGATTGATCATCGCAGTTATACACACAACTCAGTAAGTAGTAAGCTTTGATATTGTATGCCATAGCTCTACCACTGAGTTATTACTGTGTTCTTATACTGGACATCACATTGTATATAACATGTAGCAGTTATATCGCTTTCTCGCCCATTTTTGCAACAGATCATTGTTTTTTTAATTGAGCAAATGTCCTTGTTGTCACGAAAATGTTTGCTCAAAGCTCACTAAGGCTCAGTTGTCGTTTCCGGTCTTCAAACTAACGGTCTGTTACTCTCATAATGTATGCCACAACTCTACTATTGAGTTATCAATGTGTCGTTATACTGGCCATCATATTTTATATAACCGTTTACTGAACAATTATATCGGTTAGCAATTAAATAACTTACTTCTTTTAATGCTCACTTCGCTCTTCTCGAATGCAAAATAAACTTTTGTTAGCGATACTCAAAAGTTCATCATGTCAAGTTCGTTATAATGATTGCATTCATAAAGTAAAGTAGAAGACATGTGTACGATCAGGCTTACGATATTTAAATCAAAAAAACTAAAAGAAGAGTATATTGATGTGAAACAGAGAGTTTTAATTTTTAAAAATCGTTTTAAGGATTTATAGGGGGATCGAGACGATATCATTGTCCTAGTTGGTGATATTCTCTTTATCCTGCGTTTTTTGCTTTATAATTACGAATGTATGGATGTTGTCATATCATTCTTGAAGAAAAAAAAATTGACTGATTTTGAGAACTTGTATCAAGAATTCATAGCATTGACGGTAGTGCAATAAAATGCGAATCATGGATCAAGCTCCAGTCAGCTTAGCGCAAGACAGACGAGAAAATATATTTTAACGTGCAATCTAAGCATTGCATAACACCCATACCTTGAGAAGCAAGCAAGCAGGGAAGTAAATCTAACATAACAAGGACTAGAGCTTGCATCTTGTCTTGTTGTTGCCACACGCCAACGAAGAGTGATCACTATTGATTAAGGCGGTGGAAATTAATTACGTTTAGTGATATCACTGCATGCAATATCGATCAATCTTCGAGCAGACGTACGTCTATTGCGAAAAGCATGCCTTTGCATACTTATTCTGTGATCATATTCACTGAAGCATATCATCCTCAGGGGCAGGGATGGGTAAGTTCACAGCAGACAAACGGACATGTACAACTCTCGAGCAGTCCCAACACATTTCCTCTTATAAAATCTCAGTTTTCTAAAATCATCTACTTTCTAGCCTAAAGTTGAGACAGCTACTGAAAATATAAGTTTTGAAGGCCGCATATATACTTAAAGAAATTTTAAAATAATTATACATGGCGCCTGATTGACTAGTGACTTTCAGGGCGTTAAAACATCCTAATTCATAATATGCGTGCGCTTTTGGGTTTTTACTGTTAATGTAAAGGATTTTCGTTTCCTCAACTAATAGTATACACTTTATTCCTTCTACTATTCAGCGTACTGAGATGATAAAGAAAAAGAAATGAATATATCACTTGAAATATCTTAACATTTTGTGTTCGTGATGCTTTGACCTTACGAATTTTCCATCGAGATATACCTTTTTACGCCAAATTAAATTGTGCCCACAAGTAATGTTTATTCATTAAAATATGTCAGCTCAACTAAGATGTTGCAAACATTTTTCCACAACCACGAACGAATAAAATTTACCTTTGCGTTCTGAATTAATTTTTCCTGTTTTTTCCCCCAAGGTTGAAGCACAATTTAAAAAAAGTAAATAAACAAAACGCCGCCGTTTCTGTTCCTGCTACCAAGCTGAATAAACCCTTTTACCTATGTCACACAATATCAACAATTGATAGTTTTCAGCATTCTTCAGCAGTTACATACTGATCGACCAATTCTACCACTCTGTAGTAAGTGATGTTGATAATTCGGGGGCGGACACAGGAATTTTCAAGGGCGAGTGGCTGACTAGCCCCTTTTTGGGCGCTGTAATTTCTAGGCATTCCCTTCACTTATCCTATGGGAATAGCCGATATGCACAAAGGAATTATTTCCATCCAGATTCTCAGTGGCGAGAACTCTAACCGTAACTTGAGATTCCTCTAACCCTCAATGCTCTTAGCCTGTTCTATTTAATTGACCTCTCACAAAACAACCAAATTTCCCACATTTAGCCGCTGAGCCGTTCATAACCAGTCGTTCAATACGAACCATTTTCTCCGGCCGTTCGAACGCCTGGCATCATCCGTTCCAATTTAGTTTTCTTCAGCAGTTCGGGAGGCTGGCATCATCCGTTGGAAATATTTCTTTAGCAGTTCGAACAGCTGGCGTCATCCGTTCAAAAGTTTTCGTTAGCCGTTCGAACGGCTGGCATCATCTGTTCAGAATTTTTCCTTTGCCGTTCGAACGTTTACAGAATCCGTTCGAAATTTTTCCATGGCCGTTCGAACGGTATTTGAAACCGTTTTAAACGGCTGGAACATCTGTTTCTCACCCGTTCGTTAGCCGTTTGTTTTGACCGCTTAACGGATATCCGTTAGTATACGTTTTCGCGTGAGAGGTCACATATACCCATGTTATAGCGACTACTCGTTTACCAGTTGGGCATAAGTCATGGGTAAATAGTTTAGTTTATTCCTTTCTTTGTGTTTTAATTAGTATCTCATTTCATATTAATTAATTAACGTCTGTTTGCAATTTCACCGATGAACAAAGTACGCAAAGTACATGATATGCAAACAAATAATATTAATACCCTTCCATTAGTCTAGCATTATATATGGGTAACAAAAGCTGCGTCAAGTCGTAGGAAAAGACGTTTCTTCTTTGTTTTTCTTTTTTGTTAGCAACTGAAGGATGATTTATGTTCCGCTTTAAACGTGCTGATACAACAACTTTTCTTACAGCTTATGCTTTACCTTTTGTCAATCACTGTTTATTTAGGTTGTTCAGAAATCACTATATTTGGAACCTCTTTTAAGCCACCACCTCTGGTGAGCGACCGCGACCAATTATACAGCCAAAAGTTTGAAATTTTCTTTTGTTTTTAACCTCCCGTAAGCGACCACTTGACAGAAAAAAGAGAGGAAATTGGATAAAGGTGTTGTAACATTATCGTGGTTAGTACAAGAGACGGGCATTTCTCAATGGGAAGAACCCTCGGAGTGGGTACTCCCTTATATGTACTATATAGGTATGTGCAGCCCCAAGGGGTAGGGTTTTTCAGCCGTTTTGGTCATAAATAGGGTATCGATTTTGGCCATTTTGGTTATAAATTGGCTATGGTTTTAGCACTCTAGTCTTGAATTTAGTATGTTTCTTATGAGAACCTACTTTTTCATCATTATCAAAAAGACCGTCAACAAAAGTCCTTCATAACTTATGTTTAGGGCAACTGTGTCAGCTGCAACGGTCATAAATAGGCTATCAAAATTTTGGTCAGGTCATAAATAGGGTAGCAAAAGACTTTGGTCATAAATAGGGTAAGGGTTTTGGGAAGTGAGCTGCACACCCCACCCACACGGGGGGGAAAGAACCGGACTATTTTCTCGAAAATGACTTTTCATATGAGTAAAACATTCCATCGGCATTGGCGCATGGGGAAAGTCTCTGCAGTTTCCAAATTCTAATGTGGCCAACTTTTAACCCAACATGGTCTAAGCTCTCGTAAGTGACCACCTCCTGTAAGCGACCACCTAGACTTGACTTTTTGGGCGGTCGCTTACGGGTAGTTGGACGGTATTTCTGGTAAACTAGTGGTTCGTAACAAATTTAACACGACTATAACCGTCAAAAACACTACATTATGGTCCAATCCTCAAGGTAGCAAGGTTCCGTCATCTGACCTTGAATCTTGAACTGCAAGGTGAAAATAAAAATCAGTACAACAAGAAATGCGTGTCGTGGTGGGAAAATAGCGATATTAAAAACCTTAAGATACGCAGCAGGGAGGCTCGAAACATCTGCACATTCTTTTTTTAAATGATAAGAGGACATAACCGGAAAGCAATGATAAAAGAAATACACCTTTTCCACTGCTGATTACGTTTTTAACCCGACGAGTTGGAGAAGATTCCCCTGCGTGAATGCTATCGAAAACACTAACAGCCTCGAACAGGTGGCTTTTGGTTTACAAAAAGACGGAAAATGCTTTTTTTTTCTTTTTGTTTTTTTCTTTTTTTGCTACTGTGGCCAGATAGATTTTGTTCACTTTCGTCTTTTGATAGCTGTTAACTGACTTTGTTCTTTTGCGGTCTTGGCCATTGCCAGAAAAATTATAGTTTTTTATTTATCAAAAAATTACAAAGACGTTATTGCTATTACTTTATTGTTATTTTAAAAAGTAAATCGTTCGCGTATAATAAGTAAGCAGCAGTGAATCAATTAAAAGGTTGATATCGGTACCTTACATGCGGTCGCCACAGTATCGCAGACTGCAGAAGCCCGTAGAATCCAGCTCGTACACATAGAACGCTCCACAGTTACGAACGCGGATGGAAGACGAATATCGACAGCAACTATTGGACCAATGGAAACACACTTTGCGTTTGACAGCACCTTCGCTCATAGTAGGATGCTGTCCATCTAGCCAACCTGGCGCATGCGTACCGCACCGATGTTTAGGCACACATGATTGAGGCATCTGCTTGCCGGCACGCCCCTTGAACCTATACCAAGCCTTAGCCAGAGATATGTCGCATTTTCCGACTCCTATGTAGCCTTGTGCGCGGTCACGCCTATCCAGAACCTGGTAGAAAGTACATTCTAGAAAAGCAAACAGCAATAGTGATGTTATGTAATTGCAATAGAATGCTCAAAAAATAGTAATTATTATAAAAGATGATACAGTTAAACCTGTATTAAGCGAACCCCATATTAAGCGGACATCCTCTATTAAGTGGACACCAGCTTAAGTCCCTAAATTTTCTTGTCACATTTACTGTAAAATAAACCTGCATTCAGGGGACACCTCTGTTAAGCGGATGAGGACACCAATATTAAGCGGTTTTGTCGCACAAAACCTGCAATAAGCGGACACTTCAAGGACTTTTTACTTCTGAAAGCTCAGGTCAGACTCCTTTAAGATTGTTCAGCGATGTCGTTTTAAAGCTAAGTGATTTTTCCAGGTTGATGCATTGACTGACTGGACATTGTGCTATGAGCAGTCTTTGATCTTACACTGTGTTACATTGAGTTAAAAAAGGGTTAATTTAAGCGATTTTCTTCTTAGCTAAATCGGGATTTGCCGCTTTAGTTCAGAGTGCATTTTTGTTACAGTGCAACTCTTACCTGGAGCTGAAGTTGGTGCTGAAACAAAATAAAATTGTTATTTTGAGATCATTTAAATGTAAATAAGCAATAAAAATGAACGACATTTCAACCTCTCCGAGGTCATTTTCAAGTTCAATTAAAATAATATATAAAATAGCATATAATTATAGAAGTTTTCTATTTGTGTGTTATTTTATGCTTTAATAGAACTTGAAAATGTCCTCGGAGAGGTTGAAGCGTCGTTCATTATTACCAAATCTTTATGAAAGAAACTTCTTATTAACATTTCAATGTACTTGTGCCGAATTAAAGACGTGATTATTCGCTTTGGTGAGCGTTTACAAGAAACTCAGATTGCCTGAAGAGGTCGAAAGAAGGCATTATTTTTTTCCTCGCTATCACAAATCGTGTGAAAAGAGGAAAGCATCAACACCTACACACATCTTCTCCAAGATGATACAGCTTCTATCGGGGTTTAATGCCGTCAGCTGCATAAACCGCATTACTTTTTAGACTTACTTTCTTTTCAAAGCAACTGGTCCTCAACAATATATAATAAAAACATAAATCAATTAGGGGGAAAAAAATCCTGGCTTAATCTAAAACTAAACGTTAACAAAGAGAGCGACACCTTTAAATATCTCTTAAGAATATACCTTGCTCCCTGTCGCCACAATAACGTAAACTGCAGGCTGGTGGTGGAGATAACTTGTAAACAAAGAAAGCACCACAGTTACGAACCCGGATGTTGGTAGACAACTGACAGCACCCAGAGGACCAATGGAAACACACTTTCCGTGTAACAGCTCCTTCAGTCACTGTAGGGTGCCCACCTCTCAGCCAACCTGGTGCGTGCGTACCACAACGCTGCTTAGGCACACACGCATCAGGCATCTGTTTACCAGCAAGACCTTGAAATCGATACCAGCCCCTAGAAAGTGATCTGTCACATTTGGCAACCCCCTTATACCCTTTGGCACGGTCGAACTTAGTCAGGTTCTTGTAGTGCAAACATTCTGAAAATAAAGGGTACGTGAAAGTAACTACGGGAAACGGTTGGGATACTGCTAAATTAAAATGTAACAGGGGTGTTTCAACTCGTCATTTCGCAGCTGAAAGGTTTTTTTTTGTTTGCCAACTTCAGTCTCGTCTGACTTAATTAGAAATCTACTTAAACATTTGTAGGTTCTTTCTGTTAATGTGTTAGAAATATTTGGTGTTACTATAATTCATACGATTTCTTGCGAGAAGAACACTGGAATTATGTAGTAAAACATCTGCTTATCGCAGGATGGAACACGGTTTAGTCCTTTTAGAACAATAATAGTTGTATCTTACCTGAAGATGATATTTGCACTGAAAACAAGATTGAGATACCAAGATGAGTCTTAAATATTTGAATATATCAAAGAACTAGGGATAACTTTCTATGCCAGTATAAGAACAGTAAAGACTATATATAAACATGCATATCGAACTGAAAACGAAGACTTATTGATAGAATAAAAGTCAGTAAATGCAAACGACGAAAACTAAAAAAATCAAAAACAGTAAACCTGCAGACGAGAATGAGCAGCCGAGAATAAGATACCGAAGAACTGCAAAGAAAAAAGTTTTTTCTTTTCTTTCAACTGTAACAAAGAAAAATGTTTCTCACCAGGAGATCCAACACCACAGTAACGATACTGACATCCAGGAGGCTTCTGCAACCTGTAAACGAAGAAACCACCACAGTTTCGTACAAGGATGTTATTACTCCTCCAGCAGCAGTTGTTGATCCAGTGATAACATACTGTTTTTGACACCACTCCATCATGAACTAACGGATGTTCTCCTCGAAGCCAACCTGCGGCATGGGTACCACAGTGGTGTGAAGGAACACACTCATGTGGCATTCGATCTCCCGCCAAGCCAACAAATCGATACCAGTCTCTTTGTAGTGTATTATCACAGATGGGGTAACCACCTGACACTTTTCGATAGTCGTAAGTCTGCGAGCGATCTGCCTCAGGAAGAACTTTGTAGCGAAGGCATTCATCGCCTGGATTGAAGGAAACCCCAGATAACTTGATTCAGATGTGTTAAAGGTAAAATTGGGTTGGATACATTTACATGTTTCGCCGTGTTTGCTTTCCTTAGTCTAAAATGTCACGCGCTTACACGCTGCTGTCTTGTGTAATGGCAACTATCAAGATACTCCTACAATTGTTTAAGTAACGAGTTTGTTTATTAATTCAAGCTTGATTTTAGTTCCTTCAGATGATACTCAATCATTTAGCGGTCGCAAAACCCAAAGCAGTCAAGGTCTTGATTTGAAAACTGGAGAGGCTGCAAAAGGAGGGTATCTTACAGTAAGAAATAGCCCATTGTAAAGTAAGGCAAAGGGTCAAATGGAAACTCGCCTTGCTGAAACTTTCAATCGAGTTACCTTAGTATATTTATTACATTTGTAACCAATCGCTTTCTTAAGTGAAAAATGCTCTAAAACCAATGCGCAGTTATGTTAGTCAATGTTACTGACCTCAATAAGTAAAAGACACGGATAGTTCGTACCTGTTGAAGGTTTTGGAGGGATTCTACTTGAAGCTGGAGATGCTGCAACTGAAAACGAGAAAAAAATCAAATATATGTAAAAACTCAAAACAAATAAGTGCTATTTTTCCTCCAAAAAAAAAAAGAAGAGTTATTTTCCTCTATCAGTAAACATAATAAACAGGGATAGCATGTACCTGTTGAAGGTCTCGGATGAATTCTGCTTGAAACTGGAAGCGCTGCAACAGAAGATGAGAAAAAGCAAAAATATGTAAAAACCCCAAGCAAATACATGGTAAATTGTCCTCTGTAACAAAAAGCAAATAAATGTTATTTCCCTCTATAAGTAAAAGACAAGCATAGCAACTGAGAAGCAAGTACGTTTTGAAGGCTTTTGAGAAATCCTGCTTGAATATGGAGTTCCCGCAAGAAGAGAAAAATGTGGTTATAGATTGTTCTCTATCTGAAACAAAATAAGTGTTATTTCCCTCAAAAAGTAAAAGGCAGGCATAGCAAGAATCAAGTACGCGTCGAAGGCTTTGGAGAAATCGTGCTTGAGAATGGAGTTGCTGCAAGAAGAGCAAAATGTGGTTATAGATTGTTCTCTATCTGAAAGAAAATAAGTGTTATTTTCCTCTATAAGTAAGAGAAGAAATTGAAGGAATTCCTCATCAAATTGGAAGCGCTGCAAAAAGTGAAGAACCAAATAAATATGAAATCTGTTTAGAACTGAATAAATCATGTTCAAATTTGCAGAGACCAGTCATAAAATGGATATGTTTTATAAGCTTTTTATGCAGCCTTGCAATCATACCTCTTAAAACGGTAACGCTAAAACCATGCTTCCTGGCTACAGGATCATTGACGGCGAAAGCATCACATTCATAAGGTCCATATCGACTATCATCCGGCATTGTTATATACAGGAAGTGTAACGTGACAAAGAGCTTGCGTCGATTTTCTAAGAATAGACAATGATTTAAATATTAATCAAAACTATAACAAAATTCTCGAACGTGATTGGCTATCAGCAGCCCGATTTGAGCATTAATTGGACAGTGTACGCGTCATGCTTGTAATTGGACAGTACGCGTCATTTTGCGCGGGCTGTTGCAGTGCACTTTGTTGAGTAAACTGCTGTGTTTTTCAGCATTCATAACGATGTTTGATCGTTCAGCGCTCAATCGATGCCTACCTTCTGTTCTTTCTGTAAAGTACAACTTGCCATTTGCAGTAATTTCATGGTGTCTTCCAAATTCGTCTCTCCTCACGAATATTATTTTCTCAGGAATCTTGATCCTCAATGAATCGTAAGCAACGCAGGTCACGTTTGCCGAGGTAAACTCAATTGCAAAGATGTTTCGAGGAAATGGCTCGACGATGCCAAAATTATCCGGCGCTAAAACGTTAATAGGTAAGAAAATTACGTTTAAGATATGCATAATAGTTTACTAACTATTACAATTTACAATTTTTGTGTGACTGTATGTTGCTCACCACGATATGACTTGCCGAGCAATCGACACTTTGCCCAGTGCACGTGTTCTACTGGTATGCCTTAAACAGACTTTATTAAACTTGAAAAAAGTAGGACCAGAGTCGAAGTTTAACAGTCAGAGTATTACTGGCTTATGCTGTAATTTACCTGTACTAGGGGGGGTTATGGTTGACGTTGAAGTTGAAGGTACTGCAAAGAGATAATCAGTTTTAAAAAAATCTAAAAGGTTGGCAATGTATAATTTAGATTCTGCTTGACATAAAAACAGGGGATGCTGCAAAAAGATAGATGGATCTTTAGATGCAATTTCAATACCATCCTTCTTGTAGAATTAATCAAAGAACGAAAGTAAAACAAAGAAACACTGGTATCGTTCAAATAGAATCAATATTGATGAGAAGGAAATTAAAAAAAAATTTTGTGCAGAAGAAATGGAGCCAAGAGGCTCTCAGTTATAGCATTTGCTATGAGGCTGCTACATTTCAATTCAAAACTAATTACCTCAATTATTGCAAGCTGTTACCTGAGTTTTGTAGTTTTGGTGACCTTGGAAACGCTGCAAGAAGAAAAAAACGTTTCCCTCTGGAATTTCAGGAGTTTTACAGTAAACAACATATATNTATAAACTAGTAGTAATCGTAGATCATAGTAAAGAGTGCATTCGAGTTTTGGTAGGTTTGGTATGTTAAAAAAGCAAAAATTCTAGGAACAGCATTTTGTGCCTGAGCTGTTACGTAGACGTGAAATTGGCCTCCCTCCAGCAGGGGCAAAAACAAATGAATTGATCGAAAAGTACGTGCATACGAGAGGGTTTGTTTATACATGTATTACGTAAATAAATATTAGTTACGACCGGTCAGTATAAAACACGGACTGCAGTCGGCAGGCCGCATTTAGTCCGCAGGAAAAGACGCGTAGCAAGGTACATGTAGAGTATTACAAAGTAGTGATCAATGCAGCCCTTGATGTGCTTTAACCGGATATATCTCAAAGTCTTGTACTTCTACTTCCGGATTCTGAATTTCTGACATCTTGTAAAATATGCAAACTTAGTTATCCGAAGTAACTACTTTACTGGAGGAATAAATTAATTTTCAATTTTCAAAGTCTCAGCCTCTGGTTTATCCTTAAAATATTCTATAAATTTCGCAAATTTCAACCTCGATATTCTTATAAAACGTATTCTTATAAAAAAGAAAGAGTGTACATAGTTTAAAATACCTAGACGAGAGAGGACCATCCGTAGGCGACTTGATTACCGTTGATTACCTTGATTACCGTTTGTCTAGAAACACGAAATATTTTTTTCTGCAAAAGTTTTTTTTGCCTGCAATGATGACTCTGCAACAAGTTCTAAAAGAAATTTACAACAAATTTACACACGCAGTCTTAGTGGTTCATTGTGAGATTTGAACGAAAGTGGTCTTCGCTCACAGATCATGCAAAAAGAAAGAAAAAACCGGTGGAAGCCATGTTAATTACACTTTTCTTCATGGATTGTTTCCTCAGCAGCTTTATTATTTGGATATGTTTTGTGATTGTCGCGTAATTATGAAGTTAACGTAATCGAAGGGCTTTTTTTCGTATAAGTGACATGAACACGCTCGTGGTTACATTTAGCTCAGACCCGGGTTGTTCGAAAAGTGGATAGCAGTATCAGCTGAATAAATCACTATCTAGTGGATGCAAGGTTTGTTTTGTTAAAATTTATCCACAGGATAGCAATTAATCTGCATGGTGGATAGCGTTATCCAGCCTTCGAACAACCTGGGCCAGGTTCGTACGTGAGTACGCGAAATAAGCGAGCGCGTTAGATAAATTGCGAGCAAGCGCTGAGCATTTCGACCACCAACACGGCATTCCTCCTCCCCACCCCCTCCCCTTTATACGCCTGCTACGCAGGCTAGCCTTCTTGCGGCTTGCGGTAAGATTCATAAGTTCTTGCCTCGTCTTGCGGTTAGATTTTCAACTTTTTGCGGCTTCTTGCAGTTAGACTTTCGACTTCTTGCGTTTCGAAAGTTCTTGTGGGTAAACCGCAAAAACACGGCATTTTTACTTCTTGCGGCAAAATTGCATGTTCTTGCGGCGCAAGAACTTCTTTCGCCACTTCTTGCGCGTGCATTATTTTTGGGTTGTACTGTATTGAGCATTTTCACCTCCTAAACAATGAACCGGAAGACATGTTGGTGTACCAAAGAAATCCTGTGGGAGTTGAACGCTTTTCCTGTGTAGACACTTTCGTCGGGTTTATGTTACATATTTTGCGAACAGAAATCTAGGCCAGCGAAGTGAAACTACGCATTTCGACCTTTGATTTATTCAGCAGAAAGCAGCGTTGGGTTTGGCCGAAGAGAAGAGGGTCAAAACACGCAGCCAAACTATAGCTTTCTGAATCCACGTACAATCTTCATCTGACAGACCTTCCAATGTATCGAACAATGCAGGAATTCCATAACTTGTTCCGGTCCAGGAGAAAATCAATGCGATTCTGATAAAAAAAAAAACAACTAAACGAACGGCCAGGCGAAAGAAAAGAAAAATCACAACTGTAACAGATTTACAAGTGCTGAATCAAACACAACGTCCAGGAAAAGACTCGAATGAACCATGAAGCATTTCGACCACAAGGAAAACTCACGAGCAATCAAAAAAAAAAAAAAAAAACCAACCATGTGCTACATGTATTGCGATTGTTTAGGTACGTTCGTCTACTGGCCTCGGTCTTGATATCCCAAGAAATTAAAGATCCTGCTTAGCTTTCTTGTTCTCTAAACTTTAGCTTCAACTGGTTGCTTCAAGTACATTTTAGTTTGCTTTTAGTTTTAAGTCGCGTGAATACGTTAACTTAATCCTAAGGATGCTTAATCGTTGAATGTCAGTTTGCCCGTGTGTGACACTCATATCTACCGAGAGAGTATTATTTTAAGAACGTATTCATTGGCTAAGTTAGTTAGGTGAAAATTAGCTAGACAGAAGTCCTTAAGTCCTAAGACTCGAGTGTAGATTCCCGGTACCTCCTGGTTTCGACAGCAGCAAACGAACACCTATATCAAATCGCTTGGAGTGAGTTTTAGGCCTTTAAGATTCGTGAAATCAACGAGTGAAGGTCATTTGGTGCAAACTGAACACATTTTTTTTTATCAACACGGCTTTCATAAATCCAGTCATGTATATTGTCATGAAAAGTATCGCTTACAATGGTTTTTTTTTTGCCCTAAATTGATGTCAAAAGGATGCCACTTTGCATGTCTTGATTTTTCTTGTTTAAGTTACCACTGGTCATGATGCAATTTATTAAGCTGAGTCTTGAACTTCTCGCTGTTTCTAACGAATGTTTAAGAATAGATCAACTCTCTTGTCACCGGGATAAGCAAGAAAGTTCTATTTTTTTTTCCCTAAGAATGAGGATATTGCAATGTAGCCTTGTATTTTCGTATTCGCGTCTTTCTTAGAAGCTAAAAATAAGATAAGATCTTTAAACACCAACTAACGAGTAAAAAGCTTACCTTTGAAGGGAAACGCATAGTGGAGTAAACCGAGGGCAAGAAAAGCTTGCAAGCGCATCTTGGCTTAGCTACACGCTGTGTAGGTTCCAAGCCAAGTGATACAAATACGAGATGAAAACATTTTATCTGTGCTTTTCAGTGAAATTTATTCTTGAATTAATACTGTGCTCTCAGACAAAACAAGTGAGTTAATATGGGTATCGCGATCAACTGATTCGACAATATTTTGGCAAGAACTTAAGCCATGAGAGCTAGAAAGATTGAAGTAATGATAATGGAGAGAGTGTGTCGCTTAAAATCGAAATGATAGCTAAGTGTACTCTTTTTCGTGAAACGTCAATTAATCATCAGCACCACTATTTTCTTTTATATTCCGAAGTTTTTTTTTTCCAAGCTATTCCACACCTTCCTGAGTGCATCTATCTTCCTTGTTACTGAGTAAATGTTACATAACAGCATCAATTTCTTTTGTCAACACTTCAGTTATTCATGAAGTTAATGAAAATATACTGACAGAGGTTAATTAAAGTTCAGATTGCAGTTGCTAAAACGCACGTTATGATTTGCGGATGTGTGTAACTGTTTATTCACAAAGAATTCAATTCAGGCTGTTTACACCACAAGGTAAACATTAACAACAGCTAAATTACTATCGAATATTTCGAGAAAGTAATGGTACAGTAAAGGTACTTTGATCTATCTTTTGTATCTGTGCACTTGAATAGTCAATATGATAGTGAGTAGATAATGGATGTTTATAATCTTTAAAGGTAGGGCCGCAATACGTATATATTTTTAGTGACACCTTACGACTTTTGTAAGGCAGCGGCCTGAGCATTATTTCAATACATTAACCTGCGGCTCTGTAAACGAAACTTGGAACCTCATACAAGGAAAAAATTCCTTAAACTTCTTCTCACGTTTCTAGAATGACCGCAAAGGTATTTTGGTAATGGTATTGAAATCACAATTAACATCAAGCCACTAATTGGTGATTTTTTTTTTTTCTTTTTAGATAAAGGAACTCACATTTCCGAAATCCTTGATATTGGGTCGCATGCATGAGGAGTGGGGGCGTAAAGCTTGCACGGTAGCACTTCAACTACACGAGCTGTAGAATGTTCGATTTAAAATGTGGACGCTATAATGAAAATGCAACGGCTAGTATCTGTAGCGCAACATGTAGAGCATTTTCTACTCTGCTTCATCTAGGTGTGTTACGTGATCACATGTTGTATATTATTCACAATATTAAGTTGGAAAATCGAACTACCGCGTCTGTCAACTGGCAGTTATCAGATATAAGAAGTGCTTGACATTAGCACATCTTATTGTAATAGACCCGCTAAAGCCTATCCCGGTAAGATTTTTTGTAACCCTGAGTGACCATTCTCGAATTTTAAATATAAAAGTTACGTAATCCAAACAAATGATATGGATACCTTTCCCTTTGTATTTTGACTGTTGCTGGAAAAATGTTTAGAGTAAATGTCAGTAAAACTGAGTTAATGAAAACGTGGCCACGGTCAAAAATGTCAATTTTGCTTAAGCTTCGTCAGTTTGTAGGCCTAGGTGACTAATTGAAGGATATCAGGTTAGTTTTTGGAAATAATTATTCAATAAAAGGCAGAAATCCGTGAAAAATGGTCACGCTAACGGAAGCTTAGACTTCTTAGAAAGCTTAGAAAACAGAATTTTATACCCGGCTTTTGCTTCTCGCTGAACAGAATTTTAAATCTCAGTGAATCGTTCTCAGAATTAGTTGCGTGGTCCTCATTTACGGTACGTTAATATCTTAATCTGAAGTTTATCATGACCAAATTGAGGCCTGAATACTTAGATATACGAATTCCGCAATTGCCTAAAATAAGCCAAATCTAGCGGTCACTGAAAAAGCTGACAGGTAATATGCCAAATCTTCTGATGCTCGCCAGAGATAGCTCGGTCATTGTGTTTTAGGTTCAGTTATGATTTCATATTCATGGGATCTTTAGAGACGTTTTGCATGGAAGCTAATCAAACTTTCATAAAATGACACTTGAGCCCTTAATCATATCACGCACAAGCGCCTTCACCGTAATTTAAAATCACGGTCGATTCGAACGAAGTCCTATTTTAAAATTTTTAATCTGATGACTTACAAGGTTTTAGTTCAAGAGGTGAATGTTTCATTAACTCAAAATACCCCGCAAAAGCGTCTCGTTACAGACGACAAGCTTCATGTCCTGGCTAGGAAAGAATGGTGTACATTTCAAAGGTGCGGAAGTTGTAATTTTGTGCAACTTTTTAAGATTCACAAGATCCTTCAATTATGACTTAGAAAAGCTGTGTCCGAAGTTTCTTTTGTCAAATTATCAGAAGATTTGAGACACTAACGCTTTAGTCTTTGGTCCATGCGGCCACATTTTTTAAAATTTCTTCTATTCTTACCGAAATTCACTCTTTTTATGTATTTACGAAAAGTAAGATTGCGTTCAAAACCGCGATAATCTTTTGTGCATTTAAAAGTGTCACCCTTGTCAAAGGCATAATATTTTATCATTCAGTTCCAAAAATATTAACATTGCTTTCATGGTATAAGAGGAGGAGAGAGGGGAGAGGCAGTAATGCTGTGAGGAGGGAAGGATAATTTTCGCGGTTTTATATATCGCGGTCGTCAAACAATCTGTGCCAAACTACTACAAGACGACTGAGGAAGTACTTTTGTCGTGACCACGCATATGTCTGGGAAACTAACCCCCTGAAATGGAACTCAAGAGATCACTCCTTCTATCACTCATCCGAACTTTCTTTTTCACGGATTAAGGCTCAGTATATAAGTAAATCTGTTTGAAAAGGCTACTGATAAAAATAGTCCAATTTAACCGAGACCTAACTTGGCTAGAACAGAACAAAGAAATAAAACAAACTAGCCACCGTCAAAATGATCTTGCAGTAGGTATCAAAAATTGCGATCTCTAGATAGCGTTATATTCCGTTTTCACATCAATCATGTGCTCACACGATTTTTGCCCCAGTTTTTACCGTCCTCATTTGTCCGGCTAAGCTCACCATTTGTTTACCTCAGCAAGTTGTAAGCTGGTACAATCTGCATTTTTGCATTTTAGTTCTCCTTGCATTTTCTATATTATTTTCGTTTGTCGAAGTTGTTTGCAGAGGTTTATGAAAAGACAGGAACAATGGTTGAATACTTTTGAATATTGGCGTTAAGGAATTGTCATTATGCAATGTACAAATATTTCAAACAGCGATCAACTGACTGTTTATTTGTTTTTAGCAGCCCTCTCAGTTTCCCTTTCAGTGACGTGGCGTTTCGTGAATTCACGAGTCACGGCATAGAGCCTGCTGCGCCCTTAGTAAGCTATCACGCCGCGATCACGCTTCCTACATTAGTCGATGCAAAGTCACCATTAGTCATCACCAAAAACTTAGTCTGCCTCTCTCATCACAGTAACTGTGTGTATCGTGAAGACATTAAATATTGCACATTCCACTAACGGTCCTTAACGGTTAACGCTGCAAAATGCCTCAGGCACATACTCAAAATATTAAATGCTTTTTAATTTGTAACGTACTTGACTCGCATTCAACCCTGTCTTCAATTAAGGCTTGGAATGAGACCGACCTTTAATACAGCTGTATCCGATATTTTTATTATTTCTGCTGATGCACTTTAGACTTTGAAAAGGGAAACTGAAAAGAACAAACACCGAGATATTTTCACCTCAGATGCGCAGGTCAAAATCGTGTTAAGATCAAATATCAATAAGGCTTCAAAGTCAGGTACACAACGTTCAATGCAGATCGTCTACTCGTAAGCCAAACATTTTCTCTTTACAAGTGAGTCAGTGTTTGTTTTTTTCAATAACTACCCTTCACTCTCTGTATCTCAGGAGAAAAGCATCCAAACAAATTACAAATAAGCAGCGACTACCACTGTAGCAAAAAAAGGAAATCAAAACTTATTCGAAACTTAATTTTTTTAAGAAACAAAAATGTTGAAAGGGTGAACGTATCCACGCAATATTCATTTTAACTTTCAGACTTCCTAGCATAGTTATTACTGTTTTAGGAGTATTTTACTAAAGGATTAAAGCAGATAAACAGATAAACGTGAACCATATCTTTTGTAACCATGGTATAAAATCTCCTATTTCGAAAACAACGGTCTTGTGCATCATGATCCCACTACTTGTGGTGGGTGGGCGTTTGCTGTTCCTTCCTGCGCGTTGGCGTTCTTTCGCTACTCACAAAGCCACTGTGACGATCGACTGGGATTATTATTTCAAATGACTAAGCAAACGAGAAATATCGTGACCATCGGCACGTTGATACATGCCTGGGTTAGAAAAAGGAAAGATTCCTGCAGAGTCAATGTCATCTGTCCTTGCTATAGAGTGTTAATGACAAGGAAATTGTATATTGCTTGCATGCTTCGAAAGTTCATGATGTAGGAAGTTGCTTTAGACCACAAGTAGATTATATTATTTCTTTCTGGGTGAGACTATACAAGGAAACCAACTTACAACTTAAAACTTACGACTCTGTATTACAGTTAAAAGATAATTTTGCCCAGATTTTGCCCAGCGAGCAGAAACCGGAATACCCAAGAAAATGTAGACGTTCCATAAAGGTTAAGTGAATTAATCTGGACATTTTTATGAAAATAGAATATACACTTGTCCATAATTAGGAACATTGGAAGCCGATTTTTTTCAATTGTACGCGACTGGGATAAATGTGGGCGCATTCTACTTTTGTTTAATTTGCTTCTAAGCCCTGAACAAAGAGAAGTTATGACTTTTGGCGGATACATTGTAATATCGAGTCCCAAAATTCATTGGTTGAACGGATTATCAAATTTGTTAGCCGATAACTCAGAGAGGAAATCAATTTCCTCGGGAGCATCGGGAAAGCAATTCAATATTAGTTTCAATTTCTTTTCTTCCGGTTATAAGATTGTGGACGGTATCATGATTACAAATTTGCGTCATACAGCGGATACAGTCACAATAACCTCTTTCACCAGCATTGAGTGATGCTTTCCAATAAGCCATACAAAGGAGGGAAAATTATTTCCTGGGTGGCGACCGCTAACGTCGATATTACGAGACCAGCCCACATAAAACGTCTGGCGGATATACGACCAATGGGGCTATGAGATCACAATAACCGCTAACCTTATAAGAATGAATCAGCTAAGAACAGCACTATATATAAAGAGATTCAAAACCTTCTTGTCCAAGAAAAATTGAACTTCACTTACTAACTACAAGAGTATTGTCCGGACGTCACGACTAGTGGTCAAGTCTCCATTTGCTCCAAAGGTAAGTAAAATTTTATTCCTTGCCCGCAATATAGGAAATAGGAAATAGGAAAAGGCTCCAATGCACCTAACTCAGTTAATTATCTGGTTTATCAAATGATGTAGATGTACATTATACGGTCCGTTACTTCAAATGGGATATTCCTGAATATGGAAGTTTGATCAGTTTCAATATCGCCTCGTTTTAAGAATACCAACTATGATTAAACCATTCTCCATTGTGTATTCCTAAAAGGTTTCACCTGTAGGGTGTCTTTAAAATTCAAGCCTAACCTCGAAGGCACAAAATTTCGACTCCGAAACTTGAATCCAACAAAAAAAATTAAAGATTTTTTAATTAAAGGGAAAAAGGCAGGCACGGACCTTACTTTTCAAATAATATTGCAAACGTAGCTGTTACAACCAAACCGTGTTCAGTTCTTATACCCGCTAATGTTTGTTTTTTTACGTAGACTGAAGAATCAAGTTGATCAGCCAGGAGTAGTCTTAATCCATGATGTATACTTTACTGGGGTTCCTTCTCATGTCCTTTTTTGCTGTTTCCTTTCAAGATGATGGTAAGTCACAGACTGTTAAGACCACCACTTGTTGTTATAGGGAAAACTGATGGGCTATCATGTGATCAAGCATTGATGTCCATGAGCGAGTTAATGATTAACCTACTTCACAAATTATACCGCTATTGGTCAAATCCAATACCATACATCAACTTTAAACTTCAGCATATAAAAAAGCATACTTAACACTAAAGTTAATTTTTATAACTAAGCTAACTCAATAACTAGAAAGAGGTGGCAGACTAATCAGGAAAACAATGACAAAGGAGTAGGGTTCAGACAGTTTATTGTACTCTCACTGCTATAATTTCATTGCTGTTGTTTTAGCTGCTTTTTTTGTTGTTGTTGTTGTTGTTTTTCTTCTCCAAGGAGTTATAAAATTTAATTTAGGACGAAGGAATTGTCTTGTAACGGCTCACGAAACACGAAGAATTGCGTGCTCAAATATGATTAGGGCGGAACGATGACATAGTGCTTACTTGTGTCAATAGGCCGCTTGTCGCATGACCCAATTAAAGTACGCACGGATGAGAAAAAACGGTGACTAGAGATTCAATTCTCTGTAGGTTTGTTTCACAGATTTAAAGAAATGGGACATTTTATACTCCACGTTGTTTTAAAACCTCAACGATTAGTTAATATATATATTTCAATTATCAATCCTTTCATGGCAACTACACGATTTTAAAACATCTTTCTAATTTGTTTCTCAGTGAAAATAAGATATGAGCCTATTGGATGCTTTAACGACATGATGAAAGAGCCAAGGCCACTTCCAGTGCTGATAAAATCTTTCCGAGGGGGTCAGATAGACTGGCACAATTTGAACAACACGATCGAGGCTTGTGCAAAGGTAGCATTGAAGAAAAATTATCTGTATTTTGCACTTCAATTTTATGGAGAGTGTTGGAGCGGTCCACAAGCCCACTTGACTTACGATCGGGACGGAAGGTCCAAACGCTGCACTCTGGGCGTTGGAAAACAGCGCGCAAACATGGTATACATGTTTGCTGGTAAAGGTGAGTTACGAGTAAAGTGGCAATAAACAAGGGGAGGCGAGAGAAGAAGCGTGAGATCCAGCACATGAGGACGATAACTTAAATCATGTTCCACAAAATAATTTTCCCTTTTATAAATCAGACCTTGAAGTAATGTTACTCGTAAATGACATAGCAATCTTAGTTACTTATTCAGTAACTAAAGAACAAAGAGTTCAGTGCTATTTTTTTATGTCGTTGTCCATTGCGTGTAATAAAGGGAAAACGAGTGCAAATGACAGACCATGATCATGATAATGATTAACAATCTTGTACTTCCGCGCTAGAAAAAAAACAGCCTTAAAGAAGGATTTCACAAATGATAAATTAAAGAAATCACCAATTAGTAAGTCGACATACCAATATACACCTTGCGGCTATTTCTATAGTTGTCATACCGCCTCCATTTTGTTGGTCCGAAGTTGCCAATGTAATCAGCGATATCCTCCTGATGCTGCCAGTGTTAACTCATGATTCGTTTTCTTTTCTTCTGCAGAGAATGAATGCACCGATTATCACATTTTAAATTCATCAGACAGGTCAATGAATCATAGTCTCGCTGGCCCTCCAAAGTGTGACCACTGGGTGCAGAATCCCAGCTTTAAAGATGTAAATCGATGGTACAGATTTACTGGCAAGGCTGGACAGGCCATGCCAGAAAAATGCGTGGATCCATTTAAGTGTCAAACGTTTGTGAGTGGCTGGATGGATGGAAAACATCCTGAGGTTGGTTTTTAAAGTCAGGCTGAATACTTGTTAAATATATTTTGTATTTGTTATTCAAAAGAACCCTCGGAATTTTAATTTTAGCCCTTTTTGCGATGCCATTCCGCTCGTTACCGCTTAATTTCTATAAGGTCTGTCGAAAAAACCTTTTTATTATATGACTGAGAAAATTACTTGACTGTGATTAGCAGAAATCAAACCCGACCAATTTTAATTAACGTTTAGTTTTAATTTGCACTGCAGTGCAGATTAACGCGCACGCATTTGCAATTTTGTCAGCCATATAATAAATGAGTTATAGTACTAAAGCTCGAGCAATTATGGATTTACACCTGAAGGCTCGTGTATTTTTGAGAGAATTTTCCGAAACATCACTCGCATTGTAAATCCTCTATTTCACTCGCATTCATACGATTACCTATATATATCCTCATTTTTTTTTTTTTTTTTTTTTTCAGGTTGTCGATGGAATTCAAGATAGACGTGCTTGCTTCAGTTGGAAAAACAACTGTTGTTACCGTTCAACTCAAATACGCGTGAGAAACTGTGGTAAATTTTATGTGTACAATCTTCCAAGCACTAAAGGGTGTCAAGAACGTTACTGTGGCAATGGTAAGAACCTTAACATGGCTTTAAAAAAATTAAAATAAAGGAACTAGAATGAGGAAGGGGAGGACGTGATGATCCCTTCCGGTTGAGCGCTCCGTTTCCTTTTTCAGTTTTTTTTTTTTTAGAAAACTACTCAGAGAAAATAACGAACAACGATAGTACGACAACTTTTCTGTGTTTCTGTCGAGTTGTAATATAAATCTACTAACGTTCTATCGCGAATGCCGTTCTCCGATTGGCTAAGCTACTCACTATCTATTCTGTTAAAAATAGTAAGTAACGTGGCAGTGCGCGCTTGTTTACAAAATAACGGCTGCTTCTTTGCGTTTTTGGGGTGTCTTTGAAGAGGATTTAGATTAAGTTTTGAACGAATAGGAGACTTACACTAAAACCGTTAGATTAGATTGAAATCTCCAGCTCATAACCTAATTGTTTAGCAGAAATACGATTTTTAACCAATCAGCACACGCGAGCGTATTTCTTTGGACTGTTTTGTTATGGCTTATGGCGTGAAAGACTTATCTTAATTTTCATTCCAAGTTGTTATGTAAATAGTGCATGCCTACTCTCCTTTCTTGTTTAACCAACGCACGCGTAAATTGTCTCGCCAAGGAACAAACCTGACCACAAGGTTGATTATGGATCAGGCCCTTCTCCGAATAAATGGATTCGCATTCTAAACGTAACCTGATCCTGACATCAAAGCCGCTTTCATCCGAAAAGAAAAGCCTTGCTACATCCTTTATTTCCAAAAGAATTAACCCTTTTATGGCTATTTGCTGCTTGAGTAATAACTCCATCTTTGGTCCATTGCAGGGGTTACCAGCTCCATAAGCGTTTGAAGGTGTTGATGGCTGTCAAACTTATCATAGATGCATTGGAAAATAGATTCAACAGAAAATCGCTGCACTTGTTATGTTTGCTCATGGAGTACAGAGGGCGATCCAAATGGAAAATGGAACATTATTATTTTTGCATCTTTGTTTAGAAATTGTGTTTTATTATAGCATTGAGTAGCGTCATCACAAAAACCGTAAAGAAGAACTCTACTGCAATGCTATATATATATAAAAATACAGAATTTATTTCTCGAGTGACTCATGTTACTTAGCTTGCAAATAAGTGTATTTATTTATAAGTTATGCTAGCGATGTGAAAATGTGCAAAAAAAAATACCGAAATTAGAATATTTTGAAGCGATGAAACAGCAATAAATTGCCGTAAAGACAGGCAAAACTTGGTGTCCTTGATTTCCTAACAGCAGATGATGCGGAAAGCGCTGCAAGACATCGAATTAGCCTTGCTTATTGATAATGCACCTTTTAAAAGGTTATGTAGGTCACCAGCATCCATGAAATACGAAATGCCGGCCAAAATGGTCCACAAATATTCGTTTTGAATGGAGAAGACATGTCCCATTTCTTTTCTATATTCCACGCTGATGATTCACAGATAGCATTGAAAATACCTGAAAACAAAGTAAGCCTGGCCCAGTGGATATTTAGTTTATCTAGAAGTTAGATTTTGGAACCTGCTGTAAATTCCGGGGTTATGCGCCCGAGGAAAAAGTATGTCAAATAGGAAAGGTTCTCGCCTTCACGCGCGTGGGATTCGCCCCTAACTGACTCTTCGTTAATCCTATTAACTTTACCTCCTTGAAAACCTTCAGTTATGACATTAGGTCGTAATAGTTTCCTGACATGGTCCTTCCGTTGCAGCTGAAAGTCAAAAATCATCATTGCAAACTGGGTTCATTGCAAGACTGAAGATTAACATGTGTTCGAAAAGACTGTTTCAGTTCTATAGTGCTTTTGACCTGCTAACTTGTCAGATCGAAAAACATTTGCTCAAAAAGCAAACATTACCTGTGAGTGAACGCAATTGAGCGCAATTCACTGTTTTCCGGCTCTTGACAAGAAATTAAGATTATTTGGCCTGTTTGCACCCAAGAGTTTTACTTTTAATTAAAGAAATTTAACTGTAAAAAAAATAAAGGAATAAAAAAATTGTGAGAGAATGCTACCCTGACGTACAAAGCGCATTTCTTGTTTGCGAGGCTACAATTTCTTTCCTTGTAATAACGAACGAATATTAACAACATGTTATTGCTAGGCTGAAAAAGTAAGTAGAAAGCGCTCTTTGAAGAGAATTATTTCTTGAACATTTTTAATATTAATTTTGACCAAAGAAAGATAAAATGAAATTAGACTGACCTACTTCTGCCACCAACAGATGAACTCTCCAGCATGTGTTTGTTTTTTAATTTACTCGTATTTACAAATAAAAATGTTTACCCACCAGAAAAAAATAAAGAGAGAAAAGCCAGCAAGACGAACAGTTATACTTATTACTACGTGAGTTGTGGAGAGTTACAAGGCGGGCAGTTTCCGTGTTAATTGAGGTGAAGAAAGCCAGAATTCAAAGTGACTTACTTTCGAATAACGTTTCTCGCGCGATAGCTCTGCAAATTATCGAGAATCGATTCAGAGCGGCCTCATTACAGCTTTCACTTTCTCGATTCGGTAAGTTTTCAATTTAGCTTATCCCATAGCCGAGTAAATCTCGCCTCGGCTCATTCATGCGGTCATTCATATGAAGAGCAGAGTTGTCAAAACTTCCATTACCACTTATGCTTTTCACAGATTTGGTAAAACTCTTTGCCAATTCTTTTTTCTTTTTTCTTTTTTTTCTTCTCATAGTATTTCTATACATTTAAAAAAAAACAAAACGTTGGTATAGCATGTTAAATTTTCGGGGTCACTCCGTTTATTTTTCTCGTTTTATGGCTTTCAATATAGTTTGAAAAATCAAGGTTTTTTTGATTCTGAAACTGGCAAGGTCTGAAAGAACTTACAGTGAACCCATTTCTGACCAGTCTAGATCTGTTAGTGGCCTGAGTGTGCAAAAAATATTGACAGAGTAGGGTCTGTAGGGGGCGTTTGTAAAAAGATCTGATAGAGCCAGTTTTCTTTCGGTCTTTTTACTCGGTAAAGTGTAAAAAGACTAAGATTCGCTTAAGATCAAATCAAACCGTAAGTGTCCATAACGTTGATCCAAGAGAGATGGATCCTTAGTATAAGAAATAGAAATTTTGAATGACTATATACAGATAACCCATTTTAGTCAGGTGGCTTAATGACCTGATCGTGACAAGAGTGATAAAAGCTTGAAATTTGGCACACAGCTTGCTTATACCCTACCAAATGATATTAGAAGGGGTGCCCATGTCAATCTGCTCACGCTCCCGTTTTAATGAGATTTTAGTTTTTGACCAAAATCGAGATATGGGATACCTGTGGTACGATTTTCAACAGAGTTATTTTACCACTTATTAAAACGAATTTTGCATTTTTATCTTGATTTTTTCACTTGGTTATGTACTTTGCTATTTTATTAAAGACTGCATTTAAAATAGCGTTTATAAAGCCACATCATAGTATTAGTACCCAGTCTTTGCTCGGCCGATAACACAGACAAAGAAATTGTAGAAGCGAAGCAGAAAAAATGCGCGCAAATTGACCGCGTCTTTTCTTACTTGAAATCTGATCATATTATGAATGCTTTTTCTCGTTGCGAAAGTCATTACAAATTCCCCTCACTCTAAGATTGACTTTCTGGGCAGTCGCATTTACACGACGGCATGCACTTCAACATTTTTTTTGGCACATTGGCAGCGTGAGCAGCGGCCTTTGCAGGCGCACTTGATGAGCTCTCTGCACACAGTGGATACTTTGGGGATGGTCATCCAAACTGGTTGCCACTGGTTTCTCTCTCCTTTAACCCATGAGAATTCTGGGGGAGAAGGAACATCCTGCATCGCGTGCTCTGATGATGTTCAAATTCCTGCCTGGTATACGGCCCTTTGTGGGTGCTGCAGAAGTGCATCCTGAAATTAAAATTGTTTAGAGAGAAAAAGGTATTGATAATGAGGTCTTAACTTCCTTCTTATGAATTTTGCAAGTATAATTTATTTATACCAAATTAAAACGTCGTCACCACATTATTTTTCCCGAATATCTACCTGTGTTGGAGGAATATTGTCCAAGTC